AAAAGAAGAAGGGGAGATAAAGACGATAGATGTTTGATAGGAAAGGAGAAACAAACCACACCAGAGCACCCGCCAACCACCCACACGCCTTGCAAGTGGAGGGCGATAAATTGTTGTTTTATTAAATAATGATGACTGAGTCTTTAATTAATATAATATGTACAAGCGTAAACATGGTAAAAATATGAGGATGACATATGTATGACTGACAAAAGAGTGTTGTTGCTGTTGTTGTTGTAAAAGAGTGTTGTTGCTGTTGTTGTTGTAAAAGAGTGTTGTTGCTGCTGTTGTTGCTGTTGTTGTTGCTGCTGTTGTTGTTGTTGCTGATCATCATTATCTTCATCCCCACACACACAAAGACACAGACACACAAACACACAAGCACACACACACACACACACACACACACACACACACACAATACACAAACAAGCAAACACACACACACACACAGAGACAAAATACACAAACAAACAAACACACACACACAAATACACAAAAAACACACAAGCACACAAAAACACCACCCGACCTCAACAGTCAAACCAAACCCTTCCTCTTCTCAAAATCCCCTCTTTCTCTAAAACCAACCCAACTTATGCGGCCGTTTCTTCCATCTCGTAAAAACACGGTCCGAGAGAGGGCGCCCCCCGACATTACGGGCAACCCGATACTTCCCGCTGTACCATTGGCCGACTCGCTCCCGGCAACCCTAGCTCGCTATGACGTGTCCCCTTCCACCCAAAGGACTCGGAAACACGCAAACTGCTCCGCTGTCTTCTTACGACCGAATCAAAACTTGCCCCGTCCCTCTTTTCCATTTTATTTCTTGGGGGGAGGTCTTTAGTTTTGTCTAGTCTAGGTTCTTTTCTCTATTTTTAAAGGTTTTATTTTTAAAAGAGAATTTGACTTAAACTTCAAGTTAAAAGTTCAAAAGTCACAAGACAGATGGATGGATAAATAGATAGGCAGACAAACAGTTTAGTTTTTGTAGAGGTTTTACGACGCTCGCAACTGCATAAGATCATATGAGCGTCAGAAGATTAGAGGCGTTATAAGAGAGTAACAAACGCAAAAAAGAAGAAAGGGAGATAAAGACGATAGATGTTTGATAGGAAAGAAGAAACAAAACACACCAGAGCACCCGCCAACCACCCACTCCCAGACAGATAAATAGAGTTAGAAACAGAACGAGAGTGAAAAAGTAGGACGCACCAGTGGCGCCCTCCGATCACCCGAACCCATAAAACATTATACTGACGAACCCCCAAAACCAACTTACAGACAGCCCCTCTCTCTCTCTCTCTCTCTCTCTCTCTCTCTCTCTCTCTCTCTCTCTCTCTCTCTCTCTCTCTCTCTG